GCTTTGCTAGCAGATCGTAAGCCTAATGCGGACATAACAGATGCCAATTTGCTCGCAACTTTTTAGTATATCTGTTGCCAATCTGCTGGCATATTGCGCGCATTTTACTTACTGGGTTATTCCGCGATTCAATGACGCGCTGTGTACCCATCTCTACTTTAATTTGTGAAAAAATTTCAGGACAACCTTTATTTTTTCTTCAACATTATTACTTTTTTTTTACTACTATTGCTTTCATTATTCAAAGTTTCAGAGGTGAAATCCTCAGAACTCTCTTCATTAGTTCACTCATTTTCTTCGAGACTTCTTTCATCAGAAGTGTCTACTGTTGTGCATTGTTCATCCATCTTTTGTTGAAGAAATTCTGAAGACTCAGAAGTAGTTAACGCACCTGCAAGCACGCTAGTAATAAGTTTCTTTTTTGTAAAAAGAAGAGAGACCAGTATCGGTCACCCGANGAAGCTGCGAACAATAAATTTATTATAGTAAAGTAAATTTATTATAGTAAGAGAAAAAGATTATATCTTCCGTCCGTGTCTCTTGAAGCACTCTTTCCTGGAGGACACACAGACGAATATTCCACATTGAACAGTGCTCGATTATTTCTTGAAATATTGATTTGTATTTATTGAATAGATTTTCATGTAATGAATGTCAAAACAGTATACATAAAATTTCAAAGTAATATCAATCACGTCAACAGGAAATATAGTGACTATGCAGTTTTTAAAAAGTAAAGAAAATTGCACAAGTCGGAGACAAAATTTGTTATGCATTTTTTAATGTATTTTTTATTAATTTTATCTTGGAAAAAAAACATTTTTAAAGAAAAATTAAAAACTAGTTTGGTAATTATTGAGAAAGCGGACTTTCTCACCGATTTCAACGAGATCGAAATATGTTAAGGACGTTATTCTGAACAACTTTTTTCTATACATGTTACCGCCGGTCGGCTTTCGTTTTCAAGTTATAAACAAAAGAAGATTTATTACAATTATTACGATTATCTCTAAAAGTAATCACGTTATGGGAAAAGTTGTCAAACAAGAAATGTAGGAAATTTGAAGAAAATATTAGCATGAGGTAGATGCAACAAATCTGGAAACAACTGAATAGATCTTATCTACATAAATAGCAAATTGACTAGTATATCATAGAAAAGAATTGATATTTATTTGAGTCAGATAATTTAAACGTATTAAATAAGAGGAATCTATAAGAAAAATAAAGTCAATATAATAAGTAAAAGTAAAATACGGCAATTATTAAAACATACTCACTAAAAAATAAAATGTATAACAGACTAAATAACCCACTAAGAATGAACTGATATACTGACACGGGATGCTTTCCAGCTACAGTTACAGTGTCTATTAGTGTGAGAAAGAGCATATCAGTGTGTCTTATTTGCACTAGTAGATACTGTGTAACCAGAGATGTGCAAAATAGGTATCCAAAGCCATTTGAAATAGTAAATGCAAAATAAGTAAAAGAAAAGGCGTTCTATTGGCGCTCATAGAGCTTGTAGATATGGAGTGGAAATAGCAGCGACGAGCTGTGAGCAAGATCTGAGAGACAAAGATATACTTCTGTCCTGCTCATGTACTGTTTTTCTTTCTGCGCATGTGCTTGCGCAAGTGCCAAGTGATATACGAGATTTGTTTTAGTTCCTGAAAATAATCTGTAAAGTAGCAGCCAGTGCAAGGAAATAAAACAAACTAACGGTATTTTTTAATAGAATTAAATAAAAAAATGGGTTGAGTGAAAAAATTATAAA